TTTTGGTGTGAGAGAACTGGCCATCTGCAAAGACGTTGACCAGGGGATGATCAGATGTTTTGATGATTTGCCATCCTTGTGGGAGGCTTCTTTCACATCCCAGCATGATAGAAGGAGCTCAATGGAGCTCTCCCCGGATTTGAACCTGTGACCTTCAGTTCTGCCAGCACAAGTGTTTAACCCACTGCACCACCCGGGGCTCCAGGAACAAAACTGAATCAGAAAGAAACTGGGGGACAATAGGCCCATTAGATGGGAAGACTAGATGGCCTAGCTACATTCCACAGAGAAATAAGATGACCTGATAACCACATGCTTAATGCAGGCCTGACTCTTAAGGAGACAGGAAAACCAAAACAAACACACAAGAGAATGCAGTTACCTTTAAATGTTTTTATTCCATATACATCACCTTAAAGGCTGTGGTGGATTGAAATACTTTCAATAATAAATAAGTAATGAAGTTACTCCCTTTCATTGTATTCTTCCCACCTCTATTTTGATAGGAGTTGCATTCCTCAGACTCTTGTGGTTTGTGCAGCACTAGCTTTACATAAGAATCAGTTCTTACTTTTTCAGAATCAATGTTTTTATGTAGTTAGTATTTATGCCTTTAGCTAGCATAGTTTTGTAGAACTTTTTCTGAATCTACTGCAAATTATATAGATCTCACAATATGTGGCACTACTTTCATATCACATATGGTAAGAATTTCAAACTGCAATCTAGTGAGCAGTTGTAGAAGCCTAACCAAGTTCAGTGGGAATTATACATTTGTGGCTAGGGCAAGACTGCAATCTTCAAACCAGAATTGCTATTCTTTTTAACTAAAAATGAAAATACACTTTTAACAAAATCTGCCATAGTGACTTAAAAATGAAGAAATGTAAGGATGGCTAAAATATAAGTTGATTTATTAGTGCTCTGTATCCTGCAAATATCCATAGTTATCTCAAAGTATTTTCTTAAAATGAAAAGAGATTAATATTTGGGTTGCTGTAAGTTTGCGTTTTGCTCTAAAATCTATACAACAAGGCAGCGTTTCAAAGGAAGCAGATTGAATGGAGTGAAAGTGGCAGGAAAGATTGCATCATTAAAGGTAAAAATCCATGGAATTACACAGTTCCTTCCTTTACGGCTGCCTTCTGGTCTGATTATGTACATCTATTTTCAAAGCGCTTCTCCGCCACGCAGCAAGTTTTCTCTGTGGCTGCTATGATAAGAAAACCTTGAGCTCAAAACCAGTGTGAGCAAGTGGTGTCTTTGTACACAAGCACTTCCTGTTTTCATTCCATGATCAAATATGTTCTTTGCAGGGCAAATAGGGGAGCACTTGAGGGAGGAAAGCAGAGATGTCTGAGAGGCTAATTGAGTGTACTAAAGGGCTGTTTGGCATGGAGGGAAAGGAGTTTTCCAAGGCTATGAATAAAGGCTGCGTGGGTCAGATTTCTTGCTGTTCCTTTTCTTTAACTATCTTTGAAGTTAAATAACAACAGCCTTAATGTCAGGCTTACCTTTCTCATATCATAATCTTTATGTACTACTGAAAAGCTTATACTACCAGGCTAGGATTTCCTTTACCCACTCAAATTCTGGATATTATCCAGAAAAAGCATACACATTTCCAAGCAATTTATCCTTAGATCCTTTCATCTTCCTGTACCATTGTAATAGCAAACGTAAGGCAAGCTCCAGTTGTAGAATGAGAATATGTTAGAGCTATCCCACAAACGTTAGTGACTTCTAGCAATAAAATGCTAGAAGTATGTAATATATTGTTAATATTATGGAAGTTATTCCAAACCAATTGCAAAAGTTATCTACACAATTTTGAAATGAAGTTAGTTAATGGGTCATGCAGTTCTAATCAAAGTTTAAAAAGTAATTCAAGCTAATATATGAGAGTAAAACATTTCGCAAGTTGAATTGTTTTTTTGTAAAATATTTTTATCCATAAAATCATTTTTTTCTAACTGTATTAAAAGAGAATAGATTTGCTCAGGCATTTTGTGCTGCAGAAAAATTTCTGAGCTTTATGTAAGTTTAAAATACCTTTCCTTCCAGGCAAAGCAGAGGTTAATGATTTTTGTCATATTGAAATTAACAATTGCTACAGTTGGCCTTTAGTATTTTATTTGTCCTTTTGAGGTATTCAGAATAGTTCACAATAGCTTGCAGTTGAGAACATATGTAGAGAGACCCCTGTGGGTTATGGAAAAAAGTTGTTCCATGCTGGTTGGGTGTTTGAAAAAAAAATACAACCAGAGCTCTTTTATGTCCCTTTCATTAATGAGAATGCATGAATGTCAAAATGCACCAATGGGCCATTCAAGGGGCAAAGCCTGAGCAGCCCCTTCTTTAAGGACACATCCTGAGATGTAAAATACATTTGCTTAACAAATTAAAATAATGAGATAATTCAATTAGTTCCTTTATAAAAAGGAAGAGAAAAAAGGGTACATTGTAGGATTATTGTAATAGAAGACCAGGTCACACAGCACAAAAGGGTGGACAAACCTATTTGAAATAAGGTTAGAGGAGTGGTGGAGGAAAACGCTTTAAAATTGGAGGCCCGCTTTCTAAGGAATTATGCATGGAAAATATTTATATTTTATTTGATCTTTGTGGTTTGGCCAGAGATATATTTTGAAAGAATAAATTAGTTCTGTAAGAAAAAAAAGAATGAGAAACTATTTAAGAGAGAGTTCATTTCCTTCTCTATCTGTGTTTATCCCAAACCCTTTTTTAGTTTTCACTATAGTCGGCAGAGATCTCTGTTATCAGTTCTCAGGTCTGAGAATTATAGTGCTGCAAATCTTTCAACACCCACAAACTCATAAAAATGCAAATGGCAATGAGCATTTTTAAGCTTATGCAAGGACCATCCTCATGAAAGCTTCTGATTTTTTTTAAAAAATGACCTGGCGTAAGGGGGAAAACACAAAAAAAAAATCAAGAAAGCTAAAAGCCAGGAAGATGCTCTTCAAGATACATGACACAAAAATTATTGTTGTGGCAAAAAAATCCATTTAGCCATTTCAATTGGAAAAAGACAAAAGCAAAAAAAATCCATGTAGACCAAGACAACTTTGTGCCAGTGAATTGAAGTGGCTCATTCATAGCCCCAAAGTTTTTTCAGCATTACTGTGCTGCTCTTCTAACCACTTCCTATCTAAAAGTAAATAAAAAAACTCCCCCTTATACTCACTCAACTTCCAAATTAAAAACATTTTACAGGTTAGTAAATCTCCAGCTGAGGTGATGTAGCAAAGAACAGCTGTGAAGTAATTTTGATAATGATGAGAATAATAAGCACATGGCAAGGTTCAGGGCTTTGCTGTTGCAGCTTCAGTGCTCCTGAATAGATAAAAGTGATTAAATACTCCTGATTATCCCTGACCAATATGTAATGGATTTACAGCCCTTTCAATTAGTCAGTATTTGCTTAGGACTCATTATTTTGTCTTTGGTTAAGTAATCAGCCCAGAGACTCATGTTCTGTCTAATTCCTCTGAGCCAAGTGGGTACTACAGGGCACCTGACCTCTGAAATGGCCATAGCTGGAAGGCAAAAATAAGCACTGTTCCAACAGAGGCAGTGGCTATTCTGGCTAATCCTGACCCTACAGGCCAGATCAATGCACCTTAGTTTGCTAATAATGCCCTTACATCAAAATCGTGGTTTAGGATTGTGAATCTGTTGCTACCCTACCCTGTTAGTTAGCTGTTCTCACATCAACATAAATTTTAAAAGGCATCCAGCACAGGAATCATGGTACTGTAACTAATGTCTACCAGCACAGGAATGTGTAATTTCTTGTGTGTATAATAGGAGTTGAGCATACTACCCTTTTAAGCATTTGCCCAAACAAAATGGAAGGAAAAGTGAACTAATAATTTTACCATTTTCCACCATTTCTATGCAAATAAAGAGAGCTACTACTTCTTTTGCAAGAACGTATTTTGATGCCTAAGTAAAGCTGTAATAGTCAACAAAACACCAACACATAAAACCAATTGCAAACAGGGAGATAAAGATAGATCGCTACTAAAAGTGTTGCTTTTTCACATGTATAATCTTTTCCCCCCAGAAGTGAACGTGGCTAGCTTTTAAGATAATGGACTTGAAGAGCACCTTAAATAGCTGCTTTAATCTCCTCTAGAAGTGAGGAATTAGAAATACTAAGTTCTGTCTATGTTTTACATGCAAACTGGCATAGGAAATATTTTCAAATGACTTCTCTAGTTTTACTTCCATCTTGCAATCTATGGTGGAGTCGACATACTATATAACCTCCATACAAAAATCAACATACACACAGCATTCAGAATACATGTTCATATGTATTTAATTCTGAGAAGGTCTGAATATCACACTGACTCTGAAAAACCAACATTACACATCCATGGTTTATCATTTTCCTGTGTGCCTTGAATTGGTTTCCACCTAATGGCAACCCTATCACTGGGTTTTCTTGGCATTATATGTTCAGAGGGGTTTTTCCTTTACCTTTCCTCTGAGGCCGAAGGATTTAACTTGCCCAAGGCAAGGGTATCTAGGTGAGGATTTGACCCTTCTGATTCACAGTCTAAAGTGGAAACCTGTACATCATGCTGGATTTTTCTTTATTGCAAGCCCTTGCAAAGGTTTCAATCCTCCCTTAAACACCTACTAGCATATTGACAATGCATGTGTTAGAGGGGAAAAGGCAGATATTTCTCATTACAAATATTTTTTAATCTCTTTACAAGAGAAAAGAGTAAAATAAAAGTTCATGGGTTGAATCTCATTTTGCACTGGGAACTGTGTTTTATACTCAATATACAAATCATGGACCAATTCAAAAGATACAAGCCCTAGCAAAATACCAAGTTCCAACCTCCCAATGCATTCTTCTAAAACAGTATGTGAATGTGGGTACAGTTTCTGAAATGGAAATTATAAATAATGAAGTTTGTGAACAATATATATACATGTATATATATATTGCATTCACTTACTGTGAGATGTTGGAAAAGCCACGCCCTCATGATATTTGTTGCTACTTTGGGGAAAATTCCTCTTTTCTTCTGACGTTTTTTATCTTTGTCTGGGTCATCATCATCCCCTGTTCCGGGAGAAGCTACACTGTTGTCTAAACCATCCCCTAACAAAAACAAAATGACAACAAAAAAATGGGATGAAAGATAACAAACAATAAGTAGAAACCAGTCAGAACAATCAGGTTAACTACTGTGTCATTTATATATAAAAAATAACAGACAACTTTGATTTCTTATTAAATATCATTTCTGATACAGATATATCAAAATCAGAAAGCACGTCTATTCAAGTACTAATTTGATGTCCCTCACATGTACAAATCATTATTTCAATTATAATTTTATGCTTGACATCGTGCAATGCCTCTTTGTCAATTATGGGATGCAATATGGGAAAACCGGCCACAAGAAAACCTATTCTCTCTAAATGCATCTCTGCAAACATGCCAAATACTTGGTGTAGGTAATCAAGTTAAATGTTCTGTGGTCTATATATTCTGGGTGCTCTGCATAGGTCACAGTAAATGTGTCACTGTTCAGTGGACATAACACACTGTCAACTCAACCCATCCCCATTTAGTACCATCGCCCTACACAGAAAAGCATGTGTGCATGTACACACTCAAGCACTCTCATACATCCCTTGCATGACCCTGAACAGAGTATTAGCAAGACATGAAAACTTCTATCTCTGCATCATTATCTTCTTTCTTTAAAAAAAGATGCACATCAAGGTAGGGTGCTTGCTTAATCAGAACTTTCCATCAACATCTTTCTCTTCAGTGCTTTTCCCTGGCATTAATTGTGCATTAGCAAAAATCATTTACTTTTAACAGTCATAGTTATTTTTTCTTGCCCTCCAGCAAAAATGCCTTGAAAGCCTGCCTGGAGGGCATCTAAATTATGTATCTGAAAAACTCTTCTGGCAAGGCATTGCAGGACCCCTACTTTCTTAAAATTCATACAAGCACGTCTTCCTGTTTTTGGGAAGGCATCAATCAAGAGCAGCAATATATGCCATATTCCTACATTAATATTTGAACTAATAACTTTTAAAAAAGGAAAGAAACAAGATCCGACTTGTGGCATAATCAAATGCAAAATAAATGAAGAATACTGGGACAGCACTGAGACTTTATAGATTGCTGTGTTTTCCTTACACATCATTAGCCCGGAGCCACACGAAAGAGGAAAACAGAGAAGTGGAGAGTTTATGCTCCCTGCTGGTGTTTAAGAAGCCGAGGTCCTGGAAGGACATCTGGGAATTGCTCTGAGACGGTGGTTTTTGTAATTTAAGAATAGACATTCATTAGCAGTAAATGCCATAAATCCCATGCTAAGTAAAAACCTTGTCCAAGAAAGCCTAAAACAATAAACTCTGTACTCAATGTAGCCTGAGATAGACGCTCCATAGCTTCCTGAGGAATGCTAGAGACCCAAGAACTAACTCCTATAGCCTCTCCTGGTTTTTCAGTGCTGCTAAAACAAACACATTACTGCTACATAGAGATTGTTTATCTCAAAACTTTAAATTCTATTTCACCTTCATTTTGCGGTGCTCAAACACCTTTCCTGCGGTGCCTCTTCAAAGAAGCAAAAATAATCTGGGGGGAAAAACACCACCATTCAACCTTCTCTAACTAGAGGAACAAAAAAAAGCCAGCTGAAAGGGCTAGCAGATTAATTTTATTGACATTTCCATTTTCACTGCAATGTGATATCCTCCATCACATAGAAGAGATGGTCTTCACTATTTACAGAATGACAGGCCACTTCATTACAACCACCCTGCCCCAAGGCTGAGTAGTTCCCTTCCATCTGCCGAAGGTCCTGAGTCAGACCCTAAGTCACTGTTTTCTTTTCCTTTGACTTATGGCAAATAAAAAGTAAATTGAAGGGGTGGAGAGTGATCAAAGAAAGACGCAAGACCACACAGCTTATCAAAAGCCAGCTATTTTGTAGAAATATTGCTCTAGAAGAATTCCTTCTAGTAGCCCATCACCTACATACGTGTGTGTGTGTGTAAAAGCACAAAGCTACAACATATACACACCCTTTCCACTATGCCAAAGAACTGCTGCAAGGCAATTTTCATGAACACTAATGGCTTCTGACTGCTCCTTGGCAACCCTAGCATTTTAACCTGGTGGATGTGCTCTCCAAAATACAGAGGCTGGAGCTATCTCATCATCTGTTCATGTGACACAGATGGAGAGTGGCTATTAGGAGCCAGGCAATGGGCCTTGGGGATCTGAGGTGCTGTACTGTAGCCTCGGGCAATTTTGAAAAGCAGTATCCGGAGATGGAGAGGCTAGAACAATCCATGCCAAAGCTTCAAGTTCAAAATCAGTCTGTTTGCCTACCTATTGTCTAGATAAAGATATTTTGTTTTTGTTTTTGTTTATTTTTTTTAAAAAAATAATGGATGTATGCATATAATGCATGGAGATATAAAACATTATCTCCACCCTTTTTTCTCAACCCGACACACAAAACGCTACAGAAAAATACACAGACTCTCTCTGAATCTCTCTCTCTCTGTATATGTATGGAGGAAAGTATTTGTGATGTTTTCCATGTGAAGCATCATTTTGAGTCTCCAAGTGAATAAATATAGTGAATTCAGGGAGGGGGCATAAAACAATAGCTGGTTAGATATCCTGATTCACCCTACAAAAGTTTGTCTAAAGTTTAGACAGCTGATGGGACTGCTTTAGATATTTACTGATAATGCTGCTCTTTTCTCCATTCATGCAATTTTTTTTCTGAAAGGAGAAGGCAATATAGTAGGAGCAATATACAAATGAAAACTGCAAACAATCAATAAGCGTTTCAAAAGTATACATGCTATGAATAGTACAACTATTAAACCTGAAATATAAGCGCTACAGCAGAAACAAAAAAAAAAAGCATGTGCTGCTTGCTTGTCTTGTATTTGTATGACACTCTTCTTTCAATGAGGTTAAGTAGTATTCATGGCTCTCATCTTCTTTTATCTTTACAAAATCCCTGTGAAGTAGGCCAGACTGAGAGGGAATGACTCGCTTACAGTTACGCAGTGAGTACCAAGGCTAGAATCTGGACTTCTATTGCCTTTTCCAACACCCTCAGCACTACATTACAATGGGTCTCATGCCAAGATAAATAATATCATATAAATAAAAATTAGACTAAAACCCATAACAGTCACTAATACTACATTCCTGGAAATGGAATAGGAGCCCCCGGTGGTGTGATGGGTTAAACCCTTGTGCCAGCAGGTTTGCTGACCAACAGTGAGAGCGGGCTGAGCTTCCTTTGTCAGCTCCAGCTCCCCATGAGGGAACCCAAGATAAGCCTCTCACAAGGATGGTAAAACATCAAAACATCTAGGCATCCCCTGGGAACTGTCCTTGCAGGCAGTCAATTCTCTCACGCTAGAAGTGACTTGCATTTTCTGAAGTCACTTCTGACACACACACACAAAACTGGAAATAAATTCTGGATGAAAATTTAGTCTTGTCTGAGATCAGTAAAAGCAAGATAAGGTGTCTGAAAGATATTTTGTGTATGTGACATCAAGTAGCTTTTGTACTTATAGAAGGACATGAATTTTATAGAGTTTTCTTGGGCAAAGAATACTCAGAGGTGGTTTTGCCAGCATATAGCACTACTATATTGCTACTGCTGTCCTTATTCAGTGATTTCAAATTGAATAAGAAAATAGGGACAGAGAAACAAAATAAAGCCTTAGCAGCTGAGTGCTTCATATAGTGCAATAATTACAAGCTGATTTTTGTCAGCCATGCCATTTTGGCATGTCAGCAAAGGAGTGAATGTAATCTGATGTGTAATACTATATTGCCTTATGAAGTGTGCAGAAATTTATACCTGTGCCTCTCCAACCAGTTGTTAATTCTATTTGGTACAGTGTTATCACATTTGTAAATGCATACACAAAATCTGAGTCAACACAGAGGCATAATATACTATAACGGGCCAGGATGTAAGCAGCACTCTATTTCCTCCTTTAAAAATGCACTGGGGAAAAACTGAGCACACAGAAAATGAATCTTAGAAGGCAATGGGGAGTGAGAAAAGAGGGATGAGATTCCCTGAAGAAATGCATTTTGTGTGTGAGAGAGAGAGAGAGATTGAAAGAGAGAAAGGGAAGGAAAGTGGCCATTCTTGGGGAGATCATTCATTCATTCATACAGTGAGATTTAGCTTTCAAAGTCCACAGACCTCAGGGATCTTCAGGGAATGGAAGATCCAGTCCCACAGAGGGCCCGTCTCTGTGTTGCTTTTTCGTGTTCTCCACTCTGCATCCCCATCCCCACCGCAGCAAAGCACAATACTGCCAATGTTCCCCAAGATCTCAACCATTGTGTGCTATACAGTGCACCACTCCCCAGGGACAGAACAGAGCAGATGTATTTAATGCTGTTCCTGGCAGCACTATCTCCCACTGGTTCGCTGACTGCCTTTCTGTTAGATTCCAAGGACGATACACAACATGTAAAGAGGCCTTTTCATGACATACCCCTTTTCTTAAAATCACAGATCTCAATCATACTTGCCTCTGGTGGGCCCTGAAATGCCAATGAACTAGTACACCAAGGCAGTACTAATATGATCATATATTGTGATGTTAGTGAGTTTTACTGCCCTTTCCTCTTAATTTGTTTTGTGTGTACATGTGCTATATATGTGTATTAAAAGGCTATGAACTGAATAAATAAATTGTAATATTCACATAGAAAATACTATATTAAAATGATCATTTCTATCACAGTAGTACTTTAAAGGCTGCTCACCCATATCGAGGCTTGAATTGTGTTATTGCTGTTGGTTTTGATGCTTGTTTTACATTTTGTATAATGTTGTTTTATGTTGTTTAAAACTGTTGTGATGCACTCTAATGTGCTATGTTTTAACTCTGTTAATTGGGCTTGGCCCCATGTAAGCTGCTCTGAGTCCCTTCGGGGAGATGGAGGCAGGACATAAAAATAAAGTTGTTGTTGTTGTTATAGCTTAATAAAATATGTTCCTACATTTACACTACTTTTCTTAGATACTGGGAAAGGCATCAATTATTATCTACTTATAGTCCATGAATTTTAGG